GAGGGGGAAGGGGGTGTCATGGCGAAATCTGTACGAAATACGTAATTGGTCTTGGTTGCATGCGCTAAAGAATTATGGGGAATTAGATATTAGAAAGAAACTGTGTGAAAAAAGGGAAAAGATCAATTCCTAAATGAGAGGAATGCCACCCCCTCAAAAAAAAAAAAAAAAAAAAAAAAATAAGAGTAGAAAATAAATAGATAAAATTGAAAAATAATACGGAAATAAAATTGTCCTCACATGCTAAGATCCTCGCTTCTTCTTGTCAACTTACACTTTCATATATGTTAATGTTTGCATATATGAATCCCTGCATTATTTAAAGCCCACGTGAAAGCACCTTTCTCCAACTGCCTCTGTGCTTAAGTCCATTTAAGATTGTAATAAAGAAAGCAAACACATAGATCTATCTAAATGCTAAATAAATATGTCATAGGTAAGACCTTATCGAGAGCGCTGTCCAGAGAGTATTGTTTAGTCTGTCTGTCTAAGCATATGAGTCATTCTCCTCATGTCTGGTCTCTGTCCTAAGCATAAAATCATCTCCTCATGTTGGTCTCTTCTCTTCTAAGCATATGGTCATTTACTCATGTCTGGTCTCTCTAAGCATGAGAGTCATTTACTCATGTCTGAGTCATTCTCCTCATGTCTGTCTGTCTAAGCATTGAGTCATTTACCATGTCTGGTCTGTCTAAGCATCTGGTCACTCCTCATGCCTGGTCTGGCTAAGCATCTGAGTCATTATGTATGTCTATGTCATTTACCTCATGGAGTCAGACCTTAACCCATCACAAGATAAGGTCAGGACAATAGCCCCCACGCGCCCAGTAGGAAAAAGGGGAGAAGAAATAGGGCGGAAAGGGAGCGAGGAAAAGAGGGGAAAGAGATCGGAAAGGGGGACCAAAGGAGAGTAGAAAGAGAGGGAAAAGAGATCGGAAAGGGGGACCAAAGGAGAGTAGAAAGGGAGAGAAAAGGAAAGGAGAAAGGAAGGAGAAAGGAAGGGGAAAGGGGTAATGCATTTCCTCGGGAGTTCTCACCCCGCCTTCCCCTCCAAACACGACGCTAATGATGTATGAAAATTTCCTTCCGACCAAGCTGTTTCTCTTTCTTGTTGACTCTGGTGTTATTTATTTACTCAGATGTTCCTTATTCTATTATTGAAGCGAAGGAATGGCATTATACATCGCAGTCTTAACAAATGTTTAAAGATGTATTCTTATATGGTCTTGCGGTTAAGTACTCCGAGCTGGAAAAACACAAATACCCTTTTCTTTATGAATAATTCAAATCTCTTGCGAGAGCCTTCATAACCATTAAGATGACTTATGCAACACTTACTCGGGTTTTGTTTATCGCGCACTGCAAAAAGTACCACAGCACACACACACACACATATATATATATGTATACACACACGCACAAATACATGTATACATACATATATATGCGCGCACGCACACACACACACATATATATATGTATACACACACACGTACAAATACATGTATAGATACATATATATGCGCACACGCGCGCGCACACACACACACACACACACACACACACACACACACACACACACACACACACACACACGCCCACATGCAAATATATGAAACAAACTATTTGTCACTTTAATTAAACTTACGTACTATTTTCTCTCTTTCCAGATGTTATGACCCGTGACTGACGTGTTCTTTTCGCCAGTGAAGATGAATTTCTTATTCTTATCGCGATGAAGATGATAGAACAATTACGAGAGTTATTGCGAGAGTTGAATTTAATCGACAAGAGATATTTCAATTAGGAACGTTAACCTTATTATACTAGTTTTACCGCTTAATTATCATGTCAGTTTGATATCACTATCTCAATATTTCATTTCAATCAGCTGATATTGCGAAGAATCACTTCACTAAATGTCTTATGATAATTCATATCTCTTTAAATTCCACTTTTAGATTCAAGTGGTTCAGCGAAAGTGCAGACCACGATAACCCCTTCAACTATGCATGACAAATGAGCAGCATGACAACATTACTATAATTTTTGAAAGAATGTCGTTTTGAAAGAATGTCACGTCGCCGCTAAAGCTTCTGAAAGAATAAACAGCGACAGTAAAGAAAAAAAATCCAACTTCTTTCCCTTAAGATTACGCAGATAAACACAACATTAACGCGCGAGGCAGTGTTACCACAATGAGAACTTGAAATGTGTGAAATTTACGAGCGAGATCCCCACGGACGCCTGAGGGAACGGAGAGAGGAACACGGACGTCGAGGTGTGGCAACGATGAAGCCAGGATCCTCGTCTCGGGCAGGAGGAGGCGCAGAAGGAGAAGGAGAAGGGAGAAGACAGCTCAGCGCGACTCGGGAAGGCGCCGCCCCTCACGCGAGAATCCTCGGTCGCTTCGCCCCCTTCCGACTCTCTCCGATGCCCTGCCTGCTGGTGCTGTCCGCGCTGCTTCACCTCGCCACGGCTTCCGACGTCATCAGAATAG